ATTTTAAAACTTCGATGTGTTGTTGTTGTTTTGTTGATGATGTTTGTTGTTGGATGAGATGTTACATCAATTCTTGAATGTTGATTCAAACTTTATTCCAGATTAAAATGACGAGGGAAGAATTAGAGAAACATCTTCTGATTAATATAAATAATGTTTACTTTGTGTGTTCAGGCTGTTTAATCAATAAATGGATCAAACTTGTGGATTTGCAATAAAGTGTGTGTGAAAACTAAAACTTCAGTGTTTTTATTTTTAGCTCTTCAGAAACCGTGTGCAAATGAATAGTCGTTATAATAATCTAAAAGCTAAAAGATCAGCGTCTTTATTTTTAGCTTTTTTAAAGAGATTGCTTTAAAGTAAAGTAAAAGTACGTTCAGGTGAAATATGAAGTATATAATAATGTTCATAGTGTTTATTGGAGGTCAGTTATAGTTACCAGGGTTTACCCGACTATTACATGTCCCAACAGCTGCTGTGGAAAGGTCTACGTATCCTACTCATATATTTTATCTTATAACACACGTTGTGTTTCTCTTCTGAGCTACAGCGCTCGTCTGTTGGATCGGGCAGCTTCACTCCCACCTGCATCAATGAGCCTCGGCCCCATGACCTGTGTCTGGTTCTGTTCTTCCTTGGACCACTTTTGATAGGTACTGCCCTTGCAGACGGGAACCCCCACAAGAGCTGCAGGTTTGAGATGTTCTGCCCAGTCGTCCATCACAATGTGGTTCTTTGTGCAAAGTGGCTCAGATCCTCACGCTGCAACACATCAACTCTGTTCACTGTCTGCCTCATATAGGTTGTGTTCCAGTTCACACAACCTGAAACTGAAAGTAAAGAGCTGCTCGGTCTCAGCCTGTAGGCGGGAAAACATTGGACTGAACCATTGCTCACTGGACGGGGGGGTTGGGGGGGTTGGGGGGTCACTGACTCAAACTGGACGTTTTGAGGTTTTAACAGTTTAACAAGTTGGAAGAAATCAAACATCTGCTGATGTAAAATGTCTCTCTGTGAGTCTGTTAGCATTTATTCTGGACGAGCTCACAAACATGTTGCTGAATGCTGTTGAACATTATTTGGTATCTTCCACCTGCCTCATGTATCCACCGTCCCGCCACTGACAGCGTCCATTAACCACCAACACAGACAGTGAGTGAAAGAGTCTGATACTGACAGTGGCAGCAGCAGAGGGGAAGATACGGTGGGAACACTTTATAAATACCTTCAGATACAGTCAGAGAGCTTTATTCTGATCATCGTATTGATCCGTCTGTTTCATATTTGAGTATATAAATGTTTCTGCTCCTCTCGGGATCCTTTTATTCTCCTGAACGATGCAGTAAAAACTTCACACTGAGATTAATTATTGATTATTGATATTAGCTCCTAGACTGAACTGACCTGTTTCTATCAATAATCAATAATAATTCCCCCTTAAAGATGTTTGTGTTTACGTGCTCAGGGATCACTAACTGTACCTCATTAAACATTACTCTAATTATTTTCACATAAATATGTTTGTGTGAAACAGCCCTGAGAGTTTGTGGTTAACATATTTTTAATGATTAAACCAGTAAAATGTAAAATAAACCTAACGTTAGCTGTTAGCTCACACTGTGCTTTATAAATAAAGCTTTGTGTGTTTGAAAGTATATGTAATTAACAAGTTAATATGATTAATTATTTACATTAAGGATGAACGATAGGGATTTCTTTCAGTTTCACATTTCAGTATTTCAAAAACAAGTTTTTACACACCTGAGCTGCTGAGCAAAGACGGAGGATTTATTGGCTCTGACTGCACAACAACAACAACAACAACAGCAGCAGCAGTACAGTAGAGTACAGGAACATAAAGGCAGAGGTTTGTTCAGACATCCTGACACAGTCACGTGTTTCTGTTGCAGATGTCTCTGAAGACTCTGGAGAAAGGCTGGAAGGCGGCTCTGACCGAAATCCTGGAGCATCTGACGGAATCCCAGTTCAGCAAGCTGCTCTTCAAACTGGATAAGATCCCTCAGGGGGTGAAGGCCGGAAAGGCCCGAGAGCAGATCCCTCAAATAATCATCGAGTACTACGGGACGGAAGACTCCATCTTGGTGATCGATAAAGAGATGAAGCTGATACCGAGGAGGGACGCCGCCGTCCAGCAGCCGCTCAGCCCCTTTCTGGAGAAACTGAAGAAACTACAGCAGAAAAACAAAGGTGAGTTCCTGCAGAGACGAGTTCCTCCGAGCGGCGAGTGTGAGAGCGCAGAGGGTCACATTGTATGAGACGACCAACGAGACGCACTCTTAGCTGTTTACAATGTCTTCTTCAGGGACGACGAGCAAAGCTGCAGCAGCTGACTCAGGATCAGCCGGCAAGAGGAAGAAACCAGCAGCTGGTAGGTCGACACACACCGACACTTTGACCTGACACTGACGGTCAACTCAATGACAGTGAGACAGAAACCACCTCCAATGGTTCGGTGGAAATAAGTCCTTAATTCTCCGACGTAGATGTGAAAACATTCGTGCAGAGATCATTGTACCATCGTAAGTAAGGGGGCTCCGATCAGCAATCACTGGGTCAATTTACAGCCTGATGTTTCTGGTGTAGCCGAGTTGATTTATGTTTATTTATTATTCTTAACAACACTGAATATTAAGTATTAAAATTCACTCATTAACGTCTCTCTCTGTTTAAAATACTAAAAGATAAACCGGCGACTCGCCCAGTGAATCTGTGCAGCTGATCTGCGTTTCTACACATCAAACTAATAAGAGTGAATATCCGTCCGATCAATCGGAGCATGTGACTCTGTATCTGTATATAGAGACTGTAATGTTTATGGTCTCATATGTAACCTTTAATATTTACTGTTTAAAATGTCTTTTTCAGCGACAACGAGCAAATCTGCAGCTGACTCAGGATCAGCAGCCAAGAACCGAAAGCTTGCAGCTGGTAGGTCGAGACTGAGAACAGATCAAATAAAAGATTTAATCAGCTCCAACTACCAGAGGGAACATTCACGGCCTGTAACCTACAGACAAATAAATGTTATGGATTATCATTG